CAGTCATATTAAATTCTATCTCATAGTAGTTTCTCGTGTTGTTTCACAACTTGCAACTAACTACATGTACAGAACCACCAAGTTTGTTTGGTGCTTCGGGGTTTTACTGCAGTCATTTTGTTGGTTTGACTGCAGCCTATCAGAAGATTTTAGTAAATATATAAAATACGAACAAATGTAGTGCTGGCACTGCTCATTACTTGAGCTAAATGTAAAACAATACATATTTGTCGTTTTAGTGGGCTTTGATATGGCGCCATCTAGTAGGTCAAATTGCACATTGCAACTAAATTAATACCTTCACTTTTACAAAGTTGTAAATGATCCTAAAAATGCAAAATTCACAACCTTGAACAAGAATTTATCTCTTGGACAACTCGAGTGACTGAACTGGAAAACGCCAAAAGGATAAAATTGCGACTTAAATAAATAACAAACTAAAATCTGATATTTTATACAATTCTACACCAGTCTAAACAGAGAAATATCAAATTACCCTAAATCAGTGGTTCCAAAACCTTTTAGCTTCCGACCTTACTATACAAATTTAGCTAATAACCTTTTATAAAATAGCCTAAGGACAAGGAAATACAATTTTTATTAATTTATGATTAGTTGTACACCCATTGAAAGGCAAAAGTACAGTATTATGATATGGTCTCCATCCTTACGCCCGCAAACGGACCACAATTGGATATAATCTCCAAAGTCAAGGTCAAAGTTAAAATAGGTATTTGCTTGTCCAGGCTATTGTGGGACTTCCTGTTCCACTACTGTCCTGAGGTCACTAGATGGGGCCAACCTGCCTCACCTGCAACAATCTCCTTGATGAGACGTCCTCGCTGCTGGAGCATTACCTGCCAGTGGTAGTTGCGCTGCTAGCCATTTAGTACCCTCTTGATTTGAGAATTACTTGCCTGTGTCTTTTGATATTTCCAGTGTAACTCCAGTGACTTACCAGTTCCTGGACTCCTCTGTGAAACCCTGGAAATCTCCTTGTGGCCTCCTCAGCCGTCTTCCTCGCCTTCCAATCACGCACCCACAAGAGACTACAATCCACTCTGGATGACTCCTTGCTTGCACAAGATTACTGGAACCAGTCCTCCTCAAACAACCAATTTTCTACCAATAAGAACCAGAGACAATCTGCTTCATCCATCCCTGAAGTATTTCATATCTGACCCTTCTCCTTGGTCCTCAGGGTTCCTGACACTACCTGTGCCATTTATCCTCACTGTAAATAAACTCATTAAATTTTCCGTTCTGTCTTGGAGTTGTTCATTATTCAGTCCTTTCATCTGGGTATTCAGTTCTCGTAACAGCCATTGCTCTAGACTGTATGTTTGTTGACATGTGCTTAAAGTATGTGGTACTTGTCTTATTCTTTGTAACAGTTATGGAGAAAACATGTCAAGAGCAACCATTATTAAATTTAAGTTGACATTGAATTATCTAAGGACCCTAAAGACTTGATAGGGGGTTCCTGACCCCAAATTTGGGAAACACTGCTCTACATGTTGCACAGTGAAACCTAAAGTACGGTCAAACAAGACGAACAGCTAACAGAGCAGCAGTTTCTCAGTCAGGCAGGATCTTTTCAGGACTGAAGGGAAAGACGGGTTACGGGAACCCATTCAGAAAAGCAGATAGATCTCTCCTCCATCTATTTTCTCAACTCCATAAAGCCTTCAGCGTCCAAGTTCAAAGGTATTTCCTGCCTGTGAGAGACATGTGTGGCCTCCTCGATAAGATAAACCAAAGAAAATAAAGACACGGCCTCCTCCATCTGCCGAACAATCCAAATGTCTATTTTAGCAGATAAGGTCACAACTGAAGACAGCTCCACCCCGAAACCCTCCAGACACACACTCATCCATTTGTGCTCCGATAAAGAAGGCCTGTGGATGCATGTAATCAACATATTATTGATACTCTTAATGAGAAAGCGTCTGAGTCACTGAAGCCATTAGCAAGAATAAAAGAGGCTTAATTGTTTAGTGAGTGCATGTGGGTGCATGTGTATGTGTTGTATGGCACGCACTTCTTCCTGGGCTAAGATCAGGCTAATTAAATCCATTTTCTTAGTAACTTTTTTCTCTCTTAATTAAGAGGGTTAATTACGGGCCTGGACAGATGAAGCGTGCATTCTAGAAACCAGAGGCGAAGGTACTGAGGCAATTTATATTAAAGCCATTTAACAAAACAATAAGCCTTTGACATAAAGCAGTGAAGATGAATATTTTACGTGAATGTCTCAAGTAAATACCCGTCTCTTTGACAATGGTCCAACTGTGGCTGCCTTAGCACATAAATCCACTCTACCATTAAAAATAACTGAGGGTTTTGTCTCGAGGAGGGATGCACGTTTGTAAAAACATCAACCCAACAGGTCTGGCGTTAAAACCCACTTCTGTCATCACCACAGATGTGTGGTAAGAAGACATCTGCAACAAACCAATGGTGTGGAACAATATTTCCAAGCAATATCGTTATGACTGCCAGACACGAGAGGAGTCTCCCCACTGGACACGCACCATTACTTTTGATGGTCTGTGTGCGAGAACGATGGTTGAAATTGTGTGCGTTTGCGCCCTTAGGGTCATACATCCTGGTGACAGAAATGGCTGATTCAGGACCACCAGCCATTTTGTTAGTCAGCTTAGGTTCATGCTACCATGACTATTAGACATCTGTGGGAAGACGACCATCACCAGTATGATGGTGATGACAATGAGATTGCCGGCAAGAACAAGACATCAACACATTTTCACTTGGCTGGATTCTGTTAAAGCTGTAGATGGACATCCTGATGCATGCTCAATAATCCAGGTAGAAAAATCTAAAAAAAAGTTAAATCTGGTCTTCTGGACATTCAAAAAAAACCAAAACAAAGCAAAACAACAAAAAATGTAGAAACGTTTCGTCTCTCATCCGAGAGACTTCCTCAGTCTGAGGTGCTGTATTCAGCTCAGTCTCTTAAATAGCACCTTCTCAGAGTGGATCAACCAGTTTTGCTGCTGACAACCAAAACCAGCTGATCACATGCTCAAGAAGGACCATCAGCCTAACAATGGATCATTAGCACACTGATGGCTGTTTACTGTTCACAGAGGGCTAAGTGATACTAGCAATCACAGCATTGTAAGAGGGGGACAGTTGAACCCGGAGGCCTCCACCCCTGTTTAATGATGGATGATTTCTTTTCACAAAGATGGCCTCCTTTACTCCTCTCTCAAACCATCGTTCCTCTCTGTCCAGGATGTGAACATCATCCCTGAAAGAGTGACCGCTGGCCTGGAGATGAGTGTAGACCGCAGAGTCCTGGCCTGATGATGTTGATCTTCTGTGCTGGGCCATCCTTTTGGCTAGTGGCTGTTTTGTTTCCCCGATGTAAGACTGATCACAGCCCTCCTGACACTGAACAACATACACAACATCACTCTGTTTGTGCCGGGGGACTGGATCTTTGGGATGAACCAGTCTTTGCCGTAATGTATTTTGGGGTTTAAAAGCCACTGGGACGTTATGTTTAGAAAATAAACGTCTCAGTTTCTCTGATACTCCCTCAACATACGGAATGACCACTGGTCTGGGTCTGGGTTCCTCAGGTGAGGTGAAACAGGTGAAAACAATACACATTTATTTTGCTACATTAAATTTGTTAGGTCCATTTGATCTTTTTCATCTGTAAAGGACAGAAACATTTAGTAGACACTTTGCCAGGTCCAAATTATAAAACAACGAAGTGATGCACCTAGCAGCTACAGATGGGCACCTGCCCACACAGCTAAAGGTACCAAAAGCTGGCTGTGAGATACTCTAATTTTCAGAGACACTGGATTTTGGTTTTTCATCATTTTTTAGCCATAATTTTTCTAAATGCACCTTTAGAGACTACTCATTTCAGTGCCTCAGGTGGTCAAAAACAGTTTTTTCTTTAAACTGTCACATGTTCAGTCAGTGGTTCAAGAGAAACCTTTGCAAACCGACCCTGCAACGAACAATTTGAGCAGCACAGATTTCTCATTTTTATCCGAAAACCACATCTTATCCCCAGATCTTTGGTCTGTCCCTGCCTCTGTGTTGGTTGCTGCCATGCTTCCTGCTGGTGAATCGTTAGGTGAGGCTTTTTATTAGCCTCTGTTGTTATGGGAATGGGAAGGGGAAAACAAGGAGGGGGGTGTCATCGCTTCGGCAGTAAAACAGCCCCGCCGTCAGCCCCTACACACGGGAACAAACACCCCATTAAAACAAGGCCTTCACATATTACTGTAATAAAAGCCCCTGCTCTCGTCTTTATGGGCTTTTTAATTACGTCTATTCATCTTCCCGGGCTCGTGAGCAACAGTTCATGATGATTTCATGAATACGCCACTACAGGCAGAAAACCTGGAGGGGGTGTGAAGTAAAGAGAAAGCCTGAAAATGTCCAGAATCAAAAATATGACCATAGTTACCAAAAACTGCTTGATAGCTCAGCGGTAATGGCATGTATTGGATTATGTCCCAGCAATCAGCGAAGTGGAAAAAGGACTTCCTGCAGGTTCCCCAAATAATGAATACTAATCATTCATGCGCGTACGAAGCACTTTGGGTCCTTTCATACCCGGAGCACTTTTGTGCTGGTAGAGGTCTTGAATATTCCCCAAATGAACAGGCACTAGCGTTCGCTCACTCAAGAAAGCTCTGCCTAAGACAAGGATACGATTGATAAGGCAATATACGTACAGCATCTTGATCTGCACGGATGTCATTTAAAAGCAAATTATATTTTCTACACTGTTTAATGGGGGAACTGGTTTTACCTTCTTTTAACCCTGGGACCCATGGTTAAAGAAAATGAGCCTACTTAAACCAATAAAAGACGGCTATACCAAGATGATCCCTTGAATCTTGGCTGATTTCAGTCTTGCGTCACAAGCTTGGAGAAAAACCTTCAGCTGTGCTTAAGAAAAAATAAATTAAAAGGAGCAGCTTTGTTAGAAATGTTTTATTGTCTTCAATCAGGTACAAACAGAACGCCCAGTAGGTTTGCGGAGTCCGCTGTAGATTACAGCGCTCATGAAAACCAACACCGCAGCCAGCGCTGCACCTGCTTTACGCAAAGATAGGGCACTAGACGAAGACTAGGCTGCAGAGAGAACAGGAGTAGAAAAAGACAAGGGTTATTGGTTCCATTACTTACAGCAGTTAGAATTAGCAATTAAACGAGAAGCAGGGGAAAGTGATCCTTACTACTGTCTTGGGTATCTTCTCATGTCTGCAGCTGAGGAAACTGTTTAGGAGGAAACTCTTCTTGCCGAATGACGTCTTCCATCAGGATGGGGCTCAAAGCTGCCGTCCCCTCCCAATTCAGAGCTGGGAAAACGTCCAGTAGGTCATGAATGGGGAACACAGATCAAAACATAATCCAACTTCTAACAGATCTGTGTCAAAATCATAGCAAGAAATCGATCTCGCAAGAGGACGAATGACACAAAAGTTGTGGTCATTCCAACAAGTGTCATTTCTTCTGAGCGCTCTCAGACAGGAAGTTAAGTGAAACAATGATTCAGTACCAATATTTACCACCCTGAATGCAGGTCATCTGCTCGTTAGCCATCCCAGAGTGTCTTGTAGCACTGCCCGAGTGAAAGGTACCTGCATCAGCTGCGAGGCTTCGCTTTTGTCTCGGCCCTTCACAGCTGGTCTCACAGCAGCTACACACGTTGTTGTCTCCGCCTGACGCCACCCATCTGTCCAAAGTGTATTTAAAAAGAAGGTGTTTATATGACAGTCATTCAGATATCGCAGGTTAAATTTTACTAGATGTGTAATGACAATGCTAATTGGTATCGAGTTACGAAATGAGTGAACCAACCTTCCGGCCTCGGTTAAATATGAACAGGCTTTGTGTTGAGTGTCAATGGGACCACCAAGTGCTGTTGCTTTCAGATGGCAAGTTATATGGACCTATAAAGACATACAAAATGGATGTATATAGAGTATGGTAGGATTAGATATTTCACGCAGGCACCAGAACTACAAAAAGATGGTTAAATTAGTCAATTTCATGTAGTGATCAAGTCTTTCAGCTGTTCTCTCTTCAAGAGTCTCCACAGAGAGGAGTTCTCCATCTTGGTCCTCTCTTCTCACACCAACCACCCCCATGACCTCTCCAACTAACCCCATGTTCTATCCAGCATAGATGTCCTTTGTCTTTTTCCTTGTATATGCATTTTCAACATCCTTCTACCAAAATACCCACTGTCCCTCTGGACAAGTCCAAACCACTGTCCCTCTGGACTTGTCTAAACCATCTGTCCTCTCTAACCATCTCCCAGTTGTTCAACCTGTGCTGTACCTCTGATGATCTCATTCCTAATCTTATCCATTCTTGTCACTCCTGAGAAGAACCTCATCTTCATTTCTGCTACTTCTAGTTCTTTCTCCTGCCTTTTTGTCCATGTCTCTGTCTCCAGACCATACAATATAGCTGGTCCAACCACTATCTTGGAAACTTTTCCTTTGACCTTTGCTGACACCTTTTTGTTGCAAATCACTCCTGAAAATTTTCTCCATCCACTCCATCCATCCTGCCTGGACTCTTCTTCACCTTTTTACTACACTCTGCATTTTCCTGTACAGTGGACCCCCAAGTCCTTAAAGTCCTGCACCTTTGTGATCTCTGCTCCTTGTAGCCTCACCTGTTCCACCGGCCTCCCTCTCATTCACACACATTTACTCAGTTTTACTATGGCCGACTGATTCCTCTTTCAAGTGCACACCCCCACTTCTCTGGACTCTCTTCCACCTGTGGTCAAATGTACAGTGTCCTACACTATATACTTAATGATCCGTTACGCTTCAGCTTTTTAGCCAGGTCCATTTTGGATTCTTGATCATTTTAAGTGCCATTTAGCAAAGCAAATGTCTTTTTGAAGAAAAACTTGAATGCAAGCTTCTTTAATGTATTTTTTTTTAATCGATACACTGACTTGTGTCATTATGGTTTGGATACTTGTAAATTTGTAGCTCCAATGTTAATCACGTATCAAGACGTATTTTTCCCCACCTAAGATTATAATAAGCCATAAAACATCTTATATGGCAGATTTGTAAAACAGCCAATGCCTTCAGTGCTGAAACCCATGTTTCCACCAAAACCACACTGTACTCACAGAGTTCTTGTCCTGTTGTGGGAACTTAAAGGCTTTCAGCTGGAAATTAAGTTTATCCTCCTGGCTTCTCGACAAGAAGAAAGACTTGGCTCCCGTCAGCTTAGAGTCAGTTAAACACCTTGATGGCAAAACATGCAGAACTCAGGTTGAAAAAACATAAAAAAATTATTTGATTTAAAAGAGGCAAATTGTATTTTTTGTTTTTTTTTAAAGTGCGGTTTAGGAGTGCTATGAACAATCAAGATGGAGCCTTGTTCAGTCCGTTTGCAGTTTTCTCACCCATGGTTGGTGATGAAGGCGTATCTGAGCGCTGAGCCGGGATCAGAGTTCATAGTTGCCACACAGCTGTCCACAAACGCCCTCAGAGGGATGTGGAAACCCCGGAGGACAGCCACCTCGATGTGGATGGTGTCGCTCAGGAAGTAAACATTGGAAGGTCTGGGCGAAAGCCAGTCCTCTAATCAAATACAAAAAAACATGGACTGAGTTGGGGGGGGGGGAAGAAACTAATGTCTGGGTCATCAATCCGATTAGAGGAAACTAAAATGATGCTCGAGGGGGGAGAGTGGTCAGGGACGCAGCAGGGAAACGGTTATACATACATAAAGTGGAACAATAATTGTATCAACCTGGATAAGAACTGAATGAAGGGTCTGTGCCAACAAAAAACAGTTTAAAAACTTTGGTAATTCCTTTATCAGCTTTGTGGTTTTCCATGAAGTAACCAAAGCAGATGGTTTAAAGTAAGTTCAGAGCAGTCATCTGTTTGGAATTAATTAGGAACCATAATCAGCGGGATATTGATCGTCTTGTTGTAAGAGTGACCTGGTTGGGTCCTCTGCGGAACAGGAGGCATGTAATTTCATCTCAGAAGTTTCTCCAACAGTAGCATAGAGTGATAGCAATCATGCATGTTGTCGAAAGCAACTCAGATGTTTTCTTTTCTTCCCCCACACCCCCCAGAAGACACCGTCTGCCCACCTGTCATGAGACGCTGGGAGAAGCGAAACTGCTGCTTCGCCTGCATTTCCATTGCGACAGTCGTCCACGTGGGCCTCACGGCGTTGCTGCTCGCGTAAGACCTTCTGTGAAGAAGAAACGGGAAGGATGGGTTTCATTACGGACGTCAGGAACGAGTATAACCCTGGAAACGCTAAACTTTGAAGCATTTATTTTGGTTCGCTGAAACAAAGCCACCCATCCATCAATTTAACCACTTATCCTTAGTTGGGTTGCGGAAGCTACAGATGGGGAGGCAGCCAGACGTCTCACCCCAGAGACACTCCAGCTCCTCCTGAGGTGTCTCCAGACCAGAGGACACAATCCCTCCAGCAGGTCTGACCAACGGTTTAACATCTTTCATCTCGGCTCCCATTAAGCCTGTAGATGCTTTTAGTTTAGATTTTAATATGTCTAGAACCTTAAGACTAGCATCATAGAGTGCCACGTTCACAGTCTTTGATTTCCAGCCCGTCCTTTGTCCATATACGAGTACTCTGCATTTTAGGGCAAAGTTCATCCCTGAATATTCATGGCCGATCGTTCAGGGTTCATCCTCCTTTCTGGATATTGCTAAACTGACCTGACTTCCGTTATTCCTTTAAAAATAAATCCCTCAGCTATCATTTTGTATCAGACACGCGCCCGTAGCGGCGCACTATTCCTACACTGTAATGCACCTTTACCGAACCACCAGCCATAAATCTTTCAAAGGACTATCAGCGTCCTTCAGCTGAGAAAGATGAAAGATCGAGCCATATTTTTCTGAAATATCCAAACATTAAAACTTTTTTTTTTTTTAATTTGCAGTACAAGCAGTGATAACTTTAGAGTGCACATAGGCAATATATGGCCCAAGAGCCAAAAAAACCTTTGACAATCCACCTGGTCCCCCATGTCCTCAACCAAAAACAAGCTCATTAAATAAATGTAGACCATTTGTGTTTGCCTACAAGTCCTTTATTGGGTTTCCAGAGTTAGACTTCACCTTTAAGATTTCAAAAATCAAACTGAGTTTATTGCATATTTAAAGCCAACAATAAGTTGTCACAAGAGTCAATTCACCAAAAGTCTTACATTCCGAAAAGGTATCGTGAGACACCAAAGTTCATGCTCAATAAAGGTATAAAATTCAACAATGTTTAGTCAGGTCATCTGGATGGTTTTTTTTGCTTGTTTTTTTTCTTGCCAAGATGTTTCGTCCATCTAAAGGACTTCTTCAATCTGAGGAGCCACCAAACTAAACAGATTCCCACAAACCACATACTCCATAATGGGAAAAACTGTCCGCTGGTGCTCCTGTTCTTGGCCAGGTCACCCTTGTGAAAGAGGTTTTGATCTCAATGGGTTTTTATCTGGTTAAATATAGGTTTGAGGAAGAAGGCCTCTGGGGCTCGCCATCTCCCCCATCAACTATTCTGAGACAGTCCTGTCATGACTGGGGAGAGGGCAGGGCCAGAGGCCATTTTAGCACCAGCAAACACCCCCCACTGTGGAGTGCTTTGTGGGTATCAGTTTTGTTTGGTGGCTCCTCAGATTGAAGAAGTCCTTTGGATGAAGGACGAAACGTCTAAGAAAAAAAAAAAACAAAAAACGTCCAGATGACCCGACTGAACATTGTTGTATCGGTGAGACATATTTACCAAGCATGCTGACTTCACTTTAACAAGAAAGTCTGAAATGTCTTCCAGATAATCGATCTTTAAGAAAAATTATTCCAGTTCACAGTAAATGACTATTTGACTTTCTGGAAACAAAATGTTGTCCGTCCCTGCTTTAGATCAAACATGCAGTTTTTTTTTTCCTTAAAGAACACAAAATTAACCGTACGGTTATTGGTTTTATCACAAGTTAAAAAAAAAAAACACGTTCTTTCAGAGAGGGGCGATAAGTTTCAATTTAAAATACCCGTCTTGTTTAAGTTAAAGATATCCAGAATTGGGTTTTACAATTATAGCTTTAGTTTTATTATTTTTAAAGGTTGAAAATATCTAAAAGTAGCCATATTGTTTAAAGGTCAAACTGGATAAAAAAAAAATTACCAAAAAAAACCCGGAAAAGCAGTTAGCTTTACCTTTAGCCACAGCTAACAGCAGTTAGCTTTAC